ACACACACACAGACACACACACACAGACACACACAGGCACACACAGTCACACACAGGCACACACAGACACACACAGACACACACAGACACACACAGACACACACAGAGACACACAGACACAGACACACAGACACACACACACAGACACTCACACACACACGCACAGACACACACACACAGACACACACACAGACACACACACACAGACACACACACACACAGACACACACACACACAGACACACACACACACACACAGGCACACACACAGACACACACAGACACACACACAGACACACACAGAGACACACACAGACACACACAGACACACACACAGACACACACACACACAGACACACACAGACACACAAAGACACACACAGACACACACAGACACAAACAGACACACAGAGACCAAACAGACACAGACACAGACACAGACACAGACACACACACACACACACACACACACACACACACACACACACACACACACACACACACACACACACACACACACACACACACACACACACACACACACACACACACACACACACACACACACACACAGACACACACTGAAACACACACACACACACACACACACACACACACACACACACACACACACACACACCACACACACACACTCACACACACAGACACACACACAGACACACACACACACACAGACACACACACACAGACACCACACACAGACACACACACACAACACACACACACACACACCCACACACACACAGACACACACACACACACACACACACACACACACACACACACACACACACACACACACACACACACACACACACACACACACACACACACACACACACACACACACACACACACACACACACACACACACACACACACACACACACACACACACACACACACACACACACACACACACACACACACACACACACACACACACACACACACACACACACACACACACACACACACACACACACACACACACACACACACACACACACACACACACACACACACACACACACACACACACACACACACACACACACACACACACACACACACACCACACACACACACACGAAAATCCAACAATAGTGGGTGTCGATGTCCGTACTGGCGTTGTTGTTGTCGATGTTGCTGCTGTTGAGGGAGGAGGGGGGTCCTGACAAACATTCTGTGGGGGCCGATGGCTTTCTTGCTGTGCTCTGGTCCCGTGCATGCTGTATTAAAATACTTGTGTTGTTGTTGTCGTCACTGGATTACAGTAAGTCTGTGTATGTGTGTGAGAACAGTCTGATAGCAAAAAACCTTTCTTCCAGGACGCCGAGTTTTCACCGAGTATCCGCTTTTCAACATGCACCCGCATCAGCACGTCTGCTAACAAAAGCCGGCTGATGTGCGGTGGGGACCTGCAATTTTATTTTGATACCCGGCTTGGTGCCACAGAAGCAAAGAAGACAAAAAGGACCGCTACTCCTTTCGAGGAGCTCTCCCAGTGAGTGTGCGCGTGCTTGTTTGTTGTGCCTGTATCGCATCAGCGGCGGCTGCAACGGCAACAGCCTCGAGTGCTGGTCCGAGCGGCCGGTCACGCGCTGCAGGTTCAACTCGCCATCCGCTTTGCTCAGCACGCTGTAGGTGCCGCCGTTGTGGGGATCCTTCCAGTCCGAGGTCACGCGGGCAATCATCCTCAGGCTGCCAGGGTGGTGGGGAGGAACTCGGCAGTTGCGGTGCAGCGGGGAGGCTCGAGGCAACTCAAACAGTAGCTTGACATAAAGCTGGGATGCTCTCATTGTACGTTTGACATGCTGGATGTGGCCGCAAGCATGGCAAAGTGCATGTCGTTGCGTTGAATGCTATTGAATCCTTGATGCACAAAGGCATGTTGTGTTCTTTCGGATTTAGCTAGTCAGGTGATGCATGCCAAGCGCGACTGCAAGAGGACACTTGCACTTTTTTCAGGAACACCTGGAGTGCCACTAGTCTTATGAGTCAGTCGGTTCCCCGCCGTGCCCTTGCCTTATCCCACGGATCTACCGAGTTTTAGCGCAGTTCCGCCCAATGACAAACAAATATCGACTTCTCCGCCTTTTTGGCCCTGCCCTTCAGAACCGTCACATTTGGTCATCTTTCGGGGAACCCCTGTTTGGCTATTTGTTTCAAGGGAAGCCAAAGCGGAGATCAACCAATTTTTGGGGTACCAGGGGCACCCACAGCCCCACCGATTGGAGGCTAAGCCAAGTGTCTCCGACATCACATCATCGCAGGAGGCATCCGCAACCGCCTCCACCTGCGGCGTGTGGGACGTTGAAATCGGAGGGGTCCCCTCTGGGTTTTCTACAGCACGCCCCTTCGAAATGCGTACCTCAAAAACAAACAACATGTGGGTGGTATTTGCTCCAGTGGCAATCGTTCTCTAAAGATTGAGTCCAACATAGCCCAACCCTTCTTTCTAACAAAGCAAATTGTTTCTTTCAACAGCCATCCGGACCCCCAGCATCTCCTAGACTTTAGCAGCATTTAGCGGCCGTTTGCAGAAAAGAAGGACACAATGCTCTTCGAACATCGATCTCGAGAAGTGCTTCTTGACTTGACCACCTATTAATAGAGGTAAAGGCAAAGAAGGCAGTTTCAACAATAGGTGTAACATGCTTGAAGAGGGGGTCGGCCCCACCATGTCCTTGGCAAATGGAAATGACCGCACTGGCACCCATCTTGCTTGCTCAAGGGCCGGAGTGGGCCGAGAATCGGGGTCACATCGCGACGAGCCGCAGCATGGAACCTTGCACTGAACATAGCTTCGTTGGTGCTCAGTAAGGGATGAAAACTCTCACCCAAGCAAAACATTCATCCAAGCCATCACAAGGGAAATTGTCTGTTTGGGTGACTCGAGCGTGGCTTTTGGGGACCCCCCTCCCACAAAAAATAAGGTTGTTTTAGCTTCCCTTTGACACCGACCCAACAAGTAGCCCCCACAAGGACACATCGTCCAGTTTCATCCCATGAACTGATCCACGCGTCATGGGGTTCGCGCGCACAACTCGTCAGGCCTCCGCGGACGCGTGGATCCAGCTTTTGGAGCCCGGGCACTTCATGGCCGCAGTTCCCAGAGTAAGAGGCGTGGTACCAGACTCCTAAGCTGTTTAGCAGCGGGGTAGGTACTACCAGGTCGGCAGGTAAAACCGTGAATCCGATTCACTGTTTTACAGTAATACCAATTTACCATAAAACCGTTTTACCGTTTCTCAGCGGGCACCATGATACCCTTTCTAGGGGATGATTCCTGGTCGGTTCTGTGTAACATTTAAAAAAGCCAGCTGTTTCCCGTTATAGGAAAGGATAGGTTACGATAAGATCATATAGGATAAGATAGGATAAGACAGGATACGACAGTATAAGGCAAGATATGATGGGACAATAAGATAACATAGGATCATATATATATATGTATATGGACAGACAGACAGATAAATAGATACGTAGGATGAGATCGGCTACGATAGGATAAGACACGCTGAGATAGGTTAATTAGACAAGCTATACACGCTGAGATAGATAGGAAAGATAGGGTAGATAGGATTGATAGGTAGGTATATGGATAGATACATAGGATCAGATAGGACAAAAGAAGATAAGACATGATGCAATAGGGTAATATAGGATAAGATAGGATACTATGGGATAAGATAGGATACGATGGGATAGGATAACACAGGATAAGATAAGTGAATATTAGTACATGATAAGAAAATACAGTAGACGTGATAGATATGATACATAAGATCGACAAGACATACAGGATATAGCTAAGAAAGAACAAGATAGATAAAACAGCTACGATGAGATAGGCCAGATAGGACAAATAGGACAGCTAGGATAGATAGGATGCATAGGGTAGATAGGATAGGCTAGATAGGCTAGATAGGATAGATAGGATAGATAGGATAGATAGGATAGATAGGACAGATGGGATAGATAGGATAGATAGGTAGGTAGGGGTTGGTAGGTTGGTAGATAGATAGATAGATAGATAGAAAGATAGATAGATTAGATAGATAAATAGATAGATAGATACATACATAGATAGATAGATAGATAGATAGATAGATAGATAGATACATAGATAGAAAGAAAGAAAGAAATAAATATAGATAGATAGATAGCTTAGATAGATAGATATATAGATAGATAAATAGATAGAGATATAGATAGATAGATAGATAGATAGATAGATAGATAGATAGATAGATAGATAGATAGATAGATAGATAGATAGACTAGATTAGATTAGATTAGATTAGATGAGATTAGATGAGATTAGATAGATTAGATTAGATTAGACTAGACTAGATTAGATAGATAGATAGATAGACAGATAGATCGATAGATCGATAGATAGATAGATAGATACATAGGATAATATAGGAACATATAGAACAACACAATATAAGGTAGGATAACATGGGGTAAGATAGGATAAGACGGGAGGATATGACAAGATAGGATAAGACAGGGTAAGACAGGGTAAAACAAATATACGATGGGATCACACAGGATGAGGTAGGATAAGATAGGGTACGATAGAGATATAGGTAGATAGTTAGAAAGATAGATAGACAGATAGATAGATAGAGCGACAAGTATAATATGTATATAGAGATAGATCGCATAGGATAAGATAGGCTAAAACAGGACAAGACACGGTAATGTAGGCCAACATGGAATAGATAGGATAACCTAGGTTCATACAGGATAAGATACGGAAAAAAGATAGGTCAAGATAGGATGAGACAGGGTAACCTATGATCAAGATAAGGTAGATTTTATGGAAATGATAGATATGTAGACAAGGTAAATAAGACATATACAATAGATCAGATAGATAAGATGTGAAATATAGACAAGACACATACGATGATATAAATTGGACAAATAGGACAAATAGGAACCATATGATGTATAGATGGATAGACACATAGGATAAGATAAGATAGGATAGGATAGGATACGATAGGATAATATTGAATATGGTAGGATAAGATAGGATAAGGCAGGATGTTATTGGATATGGTAGGATAAGATAGAATGAGACAGGACAAGACTGCATAAGGCAGAGTATGATGAGATACGGAGAAACGCCGGGGTTGGCAAAGGTTTGTGCGACAGGGATAAAGGATTCTCAGCAAAGGGGGCGCCCCCTATTCTTTCTAAGCGTTGTTCAATCTGGAGCAAACATTATGTTCTTCCATGTTGAGTGGGAAAGAGCAACGGCTGTTCCCAATATACCTGTGATTTGGGAAGTTGAGAAAAGGGGACTTGGGCAATTTCGTGGCTCAGCCCCATGGTAGCAAAAGAGCACCAATCGCTTCGCTTTTCCAGAAGCATTCTGCCTCTTTAAAAAAGAAAAACAAAAAAAAAAAAAAAACAAAAAAAAAAAAACGAAGATTACTAATCGCTTCGGTGCTCTCAACGAACATTCTGTCTTGGCCGGAACATAAAGTCTTCATGAGCCTCAAAGGTCAGAGAGCGCATCCTCGGATGTAACAAAAACCCAAGTACAGGAGCCCTTGTCCCCCAAGCCTTTGAGGGACGTGTTTTACAGTTTTACCGTTTCACCGTTTTTCCTCCCCGGAATCTATGGGGAGGACCCACTAACACCGACCCTACCGCCTAACCAGCACAGCCGAACTCAGGGCTCTGCACATGTCTTAACTCTTCCGCTGCCAGCCAAGTGTCCTTCACGATGCACGCCTTCTTGTCGCCTCCCGCGCCGAAGGATGGCATGATCCGTTGCTCTTCGGTAGTGAAGTCATGCTTCACGGTCACGCAGCCATCAGCGCTTCCGCAGTACAGGTTGCCTGAGGCTAGCACGCCTCTTCCAACAGAATGTGAATGTGCCTGAAATGGTTGAAGCCGATTGAATTTCATCTCCCTCAACAACGCTTCACAGAATCCTAGAGAAAGGTTCAGTAACTAGAAGCCTGGCCTCCGGTTCCCCGTGCTCTGACTTGGTGATTTGTGGGGGCTGCTGTAAACATCGAGGAAGCCAAAGCGGCCCAATCCAGGAAGGTTCTAAAGGAGAGACTTCCTATAGGGGTAGGTCCGAATGTCTCATCTGAACGCGTGAGCCTTTCTCGAAATCCTCGCCGTGGCTTTGTAGGTGGGGAGCTCTACAAGTACAAATGCGGGATGTTAAAATTGGTCAGGGAAAAACGGCTCCTGCCAAGGGAGACTTGGGCCCCAAAGCTTCAACTTTTCGCTTGGACAAAGGGGTCCAAGGCAGCAGGCTGTCCGACACTTTCTGCTTTGGAAAACCTGGCCAGGTGTTGAGCCGGGCTGCGGAGGTTGCAGTAGTTTGTGGAGAAGTCCCCAATAGAGAAGGACTGACTCTCGGAGCAAGCGTTCACCGCGCACTGGCTACCTTCCTGGGAGAAGGTCAAGGTCATCTTGTCCGTGAACTTTTTGTTTCCTGGACACGCGAAAGAAGGACAGGAAAAAAGCAAACGTGCAAGGAGAATGTAGTTTCCCCAACCGGCATTTAAAGGCCTATGAAACCTTCCATGCTTAAGCGTGCATTGTGAGTCTCCTGTATGCTCATGCGGCACAAGCCCTATGTCTACTCAACAGAAAACCCTATTGGAACCCAGTCACGTGAGCGGTCTACCAGGCCATCTCCCGGTGAAACTGACGCATCACTATCGAGCTACACTTCGAGGGCAGCTTAAGGAAACCAAACCAAACAACCCAAAGCCAGACACCCTCGAGAAGGAACGACTCGAAGCCGTGGGAAAACAGCCCAAGTTTCAAGATGATAACCTTGTGCCTCTTCATTGTTGTTCTTGCTCTTGGTTCCTCAACAAGGTGTTCTGTGCGTCTGACAGAAAAGTGACACTGCAGGAATGAGTGATAGGTAATCCACCCGAAAGAATGCCAAAGCAAACATGCGAGCGTTGGATTCTTGAAAAATAAGAAAGCCAGAAAGAATAATAATTAAAGGAATAAATAAGCTCAGGTGATATCCCCAACAGCATGCGGTGCTCTTTTTTAGTGCTCGCACCACCCCGCAGCCCTCGCAGAACCTCGTGGAACCCTCGTGGAACCCTGGTGGAGCCCTGGTGAAACCCTGGTGGAACCCTTGTGGAACCCTCGTGGAACCTTACCTCAGGGTCGCCCCGGACCACCCCGGAGCCTATCTGGGCTCAGACCCCAAAGCTTTCAGCTGTTGGGGGACAAAAACATAACGAAGAAAAACACAAAATAGGCAAGCAAACACAAGACACACAACAGACGCAACAAGCACCCAACATGCAAAACACACACACACACACACATGCCTATGAACATCCAACAAGCAGTGGAGTAGGTGTTGATTTCTGTATTTGCGATTTTGGTGTGGAGTGGCTGTTGTTGGTGTGAAGGTGTTGGTGGTACTGACAAACGTGCTGTGTTGGTCGATGATTTGCTTGCCGTGTGCCTGTCCTGCACAAGCTGTGTTAAACTACTTGTGTTGTTATTGTCGCCTCCGTGCTTGATTTATTGTATACTTTGTTGTTCTTGTATCGCATCAGAGGCGGCTTCAACGGCAACAGCCCCGAGTTCAAGTCCGAGCAACCGGTCACGCGCTGCAGGTTCAACTCGCCATCCGCTTTGCTCAGCACGCTGTAGGTGCCGCCGTTGTGGGGATCCTTCCAGTCCGAGGTCACGCGGGCAATCATCCTCAGGCGGGTGGTGGGGAGGCACTCAGCAGTTGCGGTGCAGCGGGGAGGCTCGAGGCAACTCAAACAGTAGCTTTGACATAAAGCTGGGATGCTCTCATTGTACGTTTGACATGCTGGATGTGGCCACAAGCATGGCAAAGTGCATGTCGTTGCGTTGAATGCTATTGAATCCTTGATGCACAAAGGCATGTTGTGTTCTTTTGGATTTAGCTAGTCAGGTGATGCATGCCAAGCGCGACTGCAAGAGGACACTTGCACTTTTTTCAGGAACAGCTGGAGTGCCACTAGTCTTATGAGCCAGTCGGTTCCCCGCCGTGCCCTTGCCTTATCCCACGGATCTACCGAGTTTTAGCGCAGTTCCGCCCAATGACAAACAAATATCGACTTCTCCGCCTTTTTGGCCCTGCCCTTCAGAACCGCCACATTTGGTCATCTTTCGGGGAACCCCTGTTTGGTTATTTGTTTCAAGGGAAGCCAAAGCGGAGATCAACCAATTTTTGGGGTACCAGGGGCACCCACAGCCCCACCGATTGGAGGCTAAGCCAAGTGTCTCCGACATCACATCATCGCAGGAGGCATCCGCAACCGCCTGCACCTGCGGCGTGTGGGACGTTGAAATCGAAGGGGTCCCTCAGGGTTTTCTACAGCACGCCCCTTCAACATGCGTAACTTCCAAAATCACACAAAATGGGGGTGGTGTTTGCTCCAGTGGCAATCGTTTTTTAAAGATTGACCCCAACCATTCTTTCTATCAAAGCGAATTGTTTCTTTCAACAGCCATCCAAATCCCAGCATCTCCTAGACTTTAGCGGACGTTTGCAGCAAAGAAGGACTCAGTGCCTCCACCCATTGACTCGATCGAGCATCGATTTTGAGAAGTGCTTCTTGACTTGCAAACCTCCCAGGTCTGGCGTTGCTTCAACCATACCCGGGCCACCTACCGGCAAAGAATGTTGTTTCAACAATAGTTGTAACATGCTGAAGCAAGGAGTTGGCCTGCAATCGAGAGTCCCTGGCAAATGGACACCGAGGGCCGGAGTGGGCGGAGAATCGGGGTCACATCGCGACTGTTTCGGGGGTGGAGCCTTGCATTGGACATAGTTTCGCTGGTGCTCAGTCAGGCGATGAAAACTCATCCAAGGAAAGCAATCATCCAAACCGTGACAAGGGACATGGTCTATGTAAATCTATTTGGGTGACTTGGGGGTCTTTATTTATAACTTATATCCACCAAAATGGCGGTTTTAGCTTCCCTTTAAAACCAACCCCAAAAGTAGCCCCCCAAAAAAGACACGTCCAGTTTCATCCCATGAACTGATCCACGCGTCATGGGGTTCGCGCGCACAACTCGTCCAGCCTTTGTGGATGCGTGGATCCAGCTTTTGGAGCCCGGGCACTTCATGGCCGCAGCAGTTCCCAGAAGCAGCCTGAGGTTCTCAACGGCGCGACCCAAAAGCCGACTTGAGGATACTTGAGGTTCTTAAATGCTGGCTCGCACTTTGAACTGGACAGGTACATGCCCTGCTTCCAGAGTCCACAGCGTGTGGGGTAGAGAGACCTAGCCATGCACCGAGCACTGGCATTCACAATGCCAAAAGCAACAAACACGATCTTCAGTGGAAAGGGGACAAAGCTGCTTGTAGATCTAGTCGCACAGTTTTCCGGTGTTCTCCCCTAAGGTTGTTTGCGGAGGCCTTGCTGCTGTGTGTCCTGCAAAGCGGAAGTGTTAGACACCACCACAACTTACGAGGCACTAGTGTGATTCTCCCCAGATTTCTCAGTGCCCCGGCAAGGCTTTTATAAGAGGATTAAATGAGTGTATCTCAATCACACACCCTTCCCAGCTTAAATTCACGGCAGTTTAATTTGTCCCTTTTCCCTGGTTGCAGACTCGGCACAAAGACAAGGTAGGCGCCATTGCACAGATTCTCCGAGAACTCGACAAAACGCAGGTGGCAAATGCTGTGAACACGGCTGCGGAATGCAACCTTTGAGCGTCAAGCGACATAGCACTCGGCATGCAAGGGCATCTTGCCGGTCCCAGGCACTCAAGGTGATCACCCAGGAAACGCCCGACTGGAACGGAATATGTGCCAAGCTCTGGAGGACCTGACTCAATCGTTGGTCACGCTCAACCCTACACATGGGACTTGACCTTTTCTTCGGCAAATATGTAAGTCACCAAGCGTAGACCCTTTTTTGCCGGTTGACTTCAGTTTTGGACCCCCCCCACCAAAAAATGGGAGGAAAAAAACAGCACCCCCCCCAACGGCTTCGTGGTCAACTTCCCTCTGGTTGGTGGTTTGAATTGGGAGGGGTGGCCCATTTGCCCTCTACAAATGCTAGGGACCCGTTCAAATCCCCAACCAATTCAACTACCGGTTCTTGCTTCGGGAATGAGGGAATGAACCCAGGGGTCCCCCCAAAGAAAACCAGCAGTTGGACGGTTAAGGTTCTCATTCCATAACTATCGCACCAACTAACGGTTGCCCCCATATGGGCGTGGCTCGCAATTAAAGAGCTAGGGCTAACTAAGCAGGTGTTAGTCTTTGGTTCATTTGCCAAGGTGCCATTTTAGCGCATTTATTGAGCCACAGCCATATGGCCATGGGTAAAAACCCGGTAAACCCATATGGTGCACCTACCCCAACATGGTACCATTGGTTGTGACCCACAGCCATAATATGGAAGCACCTCCCAGGACTCCACAAAGGGCGCCGCTCCGCTCGCGAGACGCTGAGGTCTCCGGCGCTTCACTGGGTCGGGCGGCCCCGGCCTCCGCGTCTCCAGCTCCGCGCAGATCTGGGCATGGGGAGCGAACCGAGGGGGACCCACCCGTTGGTTTCCTGCTTACGTAGCCGCAAGAAGGGTACCCTGAAAACAGGACACACATGGAGGGCTGAGATTTGGGTCTAGTGGATCTAGGAGATGACTTGAGAAAGGGCCCAAATTCTTCAAATGGGTGCGTTGAAACCAAATAGTGACCCTTGGGAAGGTTAGAATGCGGCTGGGCACTTCGAAACCAAAGTCACGATCAGTACCCTGCGATGCTCCTTCCACCAATATCCTCGGAAGGAAGAGGACACCGATTCTTGACGGGCACGACTTATTCGTCAATCCACCCAGCAAAATGGGGGAAATGGGCCTTCCCAATGTTGCCCTGCACCTGCCAGCGTCCCATTTCAGGTGGTACAGTACTGCTTCTTTGGTGGGCTTCAAGGACAGCCAACAGGAAACCCGGCGGAAATCCAAGGAACACCATCCGTCGTGTGGTCAATTTAAATCTAAAGATGTCCTTAGACAACTGACAGGCGAGGAACTTCATATGAACATATACGTGAAAACAAACCCAAATAATCAAGATGGAGACAAGCTAATCGATGAATGACAGGCGTACGTGTGAAACCATGAATACTTATCTTAAACAGCTAATGACATCACATCCATTCATCGAGGTCAATGAAAGCTACGAGCGTCTATACAATTATGTTTGTGTATATGAACATATACAAACTCCCGCATGCACACGCGCAAATATAGGCATCACTATCACGCCGTCACCCCTCCCCCCACTTCTTGCTTCTGCCACAACAAAGGAAGCTCAAAGCCGGTTCGTATTCTCAAGCCTACGTAGGATTTCGGGTTTGGTGAAATGAGGATTAGGCGTTCAGGGCTTTGGTTGGACGTTTGGGGTTTTGTGGATTCGGGTTGACTTCTTACAATTTATGGGCAGAGTGCGTGCAGCACCGCCCAGCGAGCTTGGCGAGCTTGGCACGAAAACACGCATCGCTGTTCAAGTTGCAAAGCTGGCAACACCCACGGCGCCCTCATGTACAAGAGAGTGTCATGACTCCCCAAGGCAGCTCCGTCCCACCCTTGACGCCATGCACTCTGAAAAAGCTCCTCCTGCTGACGGCAGAGATTCGGCATTTGAATGTTATGTTCTGCTCTTTGACCAACAGTGTTCCTTTTCTTGACCGGGCACGGCAGAGCCACATGCAGTCAGCAGGCCAGTCAAACATGGTCTGCTTTCCGCCGAAGCAACGCCTCATCGTCCTGCATGACGTCAGAGATGCCGTCGCACATCAAGGCCATGGACATGTGTGTCCTGGCTAGTCGCTAGTCGCAGGTGTACGAATCCGATTGCGCCAAACATATCTACTTCAACAGGCACTGGTGCAGGCCAAGCAATTCAAGTCATGGGAGTGTTGCAGATGCACCTGATGTTCTTATGTGACGGATGTGTCACTAGAGATCAGAGAACAGCATGCCAATTAGCTGGAAAGGTCCCAGTTTGGGTTTCGAGAGGCTTGCCTTTGCTGGGGGGAAGTCTTGCCTTTTTTGGAAACCAAAGAAAGGTATGCATGTTGCCATGAAGGTGTGGCAGCTGGCTGCAGCCAATGCATGCCAAGAACGGAGCCTATCCTGAGGATTTTCTCGACAACCAATGCAACCACGGGTCCAACATTTCAAGCCACTTAGCAAGGCCTACAATTACCACTTCGCATTGATGGACCAAGTAGCTGCGAAGCAGTGCTCGGGTGAGTGAATGCTGCACTGCCAAAGGCTGCTTGAAGATGATTCCCAGTTTAACTGTGCGGCGATCTGAAGTATCCCTGATCAGATCTCCTCGCGAAAGCAGCTGAAAAAGGCACCGCTTCTTTTGACCCAATCAGGTGTTTGCCCCAAAGAAGTGTGAGGGCACCGAGGATCAATAAGCAAGTGGCACTACACATCGCGCCTGTTAAGCTGCACACATCTCACGTCAGGCGTAGCCACCAGCAATGGTTTGCCAGTCACAGCCTAGCACAGGCTCAAGATCCCATCCCCAGATTTGGGTATGTGTCAAACTAGGCCGACCCAATGTCGGGTGCCTGTTGGGCTTCCTGATCTTCCTGTTGGTTTCCCTTTAGACCAACCCAAAAGGGTACCCTCAAACACACATACGCACAGACACACAGACTCACAGACACACCATGCACGCGAGCGCACACACTCACACACGTGATCTCCACGGTCATGACTTTGGATGCCAAAGAGCACTCTTCTAATGAGACAAGGCAACAAGAAACTCAGGCGGCCCCGGATACAGATCGAAACTTCTGTGGGCTCCACAGTCGATGGCTGTCTGACAAATATTAAGGCAGACTTCCCACAACTCCAGGAACTCTAGATAGGAACGCCTGCGCCCTAGCTGATACGTTGCTCAAACATCATAATCGGTCCATGTGCAAGCCGCTGCGCTGTCATTCAATGACGCTCAGACGAATGACTGCTTGAGACTGAAGCACTTGGAGAACTGCCCAAGTCGAAACATGATCATAGGCATAGCACGGCTAAAGGGAGTCCCACTCTGTTTCAAGGGCAGTCCCTGAAACTGTGCGGGAACTCCCTCTCTCTGCAACACCAGGCTCTGTTCAATTTCATATTCACTCTTCAAATCATTCCAGCTTTGTTTTTTCCGGACTACTGTCCAGACTACAGCGTGTACACAAAGTAGCGGCTTGGTACGTCAAACGTTCGTCGTCGGGGGCCTTGAAGTCGCGATCGCCCAGTGCCCTGGACACGGCCAATGCCACTGGCTCCTGCAAGCGACAAACGCGGCATGTCAGAAGGCCCCGCCCCTGGAGACAAAACGGAATATTATAAGGCTGTGGGCCAACACCCTGTACCTCTGGTGAACAAAATAGGTGGTACATGGGTGTTCATCCGCCAAAAAATTGAGCCATAGGTTATGACCCATGGCCATATCACTTCTCTCAGGCAACACGCACACAAACAAAAAACACGCCCTTTTAAGATCTATCCGTGCTGCAAACTCTAGGCCGATGGCTCCTGCTTCTGCAAACCGTCTCGTCCTCCCCAAAAGAGCGGACCAGACATTTGGTCAAGGCCACTGAGAAATATCTTAGCCCTCCGACCGCAAACCCAGCTCACACTCTGTGCTTGTTGTTGCTTGACTTTCGGGTGCCTGGAATCTGGGCGAGAGGGACATCACCTCTGGCTATGCCATGAATGAAACAATATGAACACCTTCCTTGCTTCCGTGATAAGGCCGACAGGAATAAGTGCCTTGGCCGCGGTCCCTTCCAGTATCAACACCCAAAAAGGCGAAATGGGCATGTCTCCAAAATGATTGGTGCCCTTTGATTTCCCAATGTAAAACAACCTCAAAACCAAACACACCCAAAAGGGTGTGTCTTTTTTTGAGGCTACCCCATTTTTCTGGCTAAGGGAAATCAAAAAGGAGACAAACCCCAAATTTTGGAGGGTCCAAATCCTAGGGGAGAAAGGACCCCGGGCCCGCCGCACCTTGCCAGCGAAGCCCATGCCCAGAACCTGCTGGCGCCGGATCTCCCGCATCTTCTCCTGGAAAAGCCCCAGGGTTTCTGAACCCGGATTCGCGGTCTGAAGTGTGTCTGTCTTTCTTTCATACATCTTCCTTTCCTTTCTGTCTGTTTTGCTTTTCTTCCTTTTTTTCCTGTCTTTCTTTCGCGTTTGCTTGTTTGTTGCTAGTGCCGCCACAGGAGCCTGGTCGTTTCGCGGCGCTTCAGCTGTTTTTCAGGGGGTGGGGGGGTGGGTGGGGAGGGTGGGGGGGGGGGGTAATAAGCACACGCGTTCACTGCGCCGCATGAGAATAAATTCATGCATCTCAGCCTCATGTCGGCTCTTTTCATCGTGTTGAGCACACGCGTTCACCGCGCCGCATGAGAATAAGTTCATGCATCTCAGCCTCATGACGGCTTTTTCTGTCGTGTTGTCATAGAGGTTTCCGGTTGCATAGCTGGCTCTCAGGGAGTCTTGAGCAATGTACAATCCTCGCGCGGTGTCTCTTTGCTTGTCTTTGGTGTTGCTTTTGCGCATTGCTAAAGTACCGCCGCCGAGCCGCTCACCGGCTCTATTGTGTGCTTGGCGTGCGTACCCTTTTTTCCTTGATCAGCACATTGATGTCTTTGCTGCTGTTTCGGTGTCAAAAACAGTTTTGCATTTTGTGATTGCTGCTTCTGCGATGCCTGACCGTTCTCCGATTGACTTCAGCACGTTTTGCGGTCTTCGTGCGTCTCTTATGTCTCGCGTTCTCGCGGGGCGCTGCCTTTGCCTTTGGCGGCTGCGTATAGGAGTTTTCGAGGTGAGGCTGAGAGCATCAAGTAGATGCCCGCCAACCAGCTTGCGAAGATGTGCAGCTGCAAAAACAACGGGCCCCAGACGTGCTGTGATCTGATTTGCTCAATGTTTGCAGTGCACAACCCAAATGGAGCCCAAATGGAGATAAAGTGAAATGAAGGGTGTTTCCTCTGACAAAACATTGGTTTGGGGGAACTCTAAAACCACAGTTTTTCATTGAGACAAGCTGAAATCATTGGCAGGAGCATTGAAATCAAGAAGGGTGAACCTTGAAAATCACCAGGCGCCTCATGGCGTGATGACCTTTTTCCTTTCTGTCTTTCTGTCTTTCTTTCGCTTGTTTGCTTATTTATTTGCTTTCGTTTCCGTGCGTTCTTTGCTTTGCGGTGGTTTGACTTTGCACTCCTTGTGTTGCTTTGTGTCGGGCAAACGATTCCATCCCCTGGCATGGAACAACAAGCAACCACAAATCAGTACCCATCGCTCACAAATGGAAAGCCAACGGCTGCCCATGTTCTGGCTATTTATCGGAGGTTGTTTTACCTTCCTACATTGGCATGCCTAAGCCGCGAAGTGAGGATACTCCCTTGTTGCAAGGTCTCAAAATTATATACCCGCCAGTTCAAAACGTCTTGTTCGTTGCAAACATATTTGCTGGACCTTTTTGGAAGCCAACAGGTGGCCGCGCACTCCGTCATTTCCTCGACTGGAGCATGCAGGAGCTCTGGAATACGATCTGGTGAGTCAACATACTCACCACGGACAAAAAGCACATGCACAAGAGACAATGGGCAATTTTGGTTGTTCCCCTGGCTTTTGTAGGACGTGTGAGGTCCGTCCCAAAGCAACAGTCGACCAATGCATTTGTCAGCGGCTCATACGTACCGTTGAAGCTACTTGTAGGAGAATGGTTATTGCCATGGCAGGAACCAGGTATTGTGACCATCGTATACTGCCTAATCACATCTTGAAAGTATGTCAACCACGTGTCTTGGTGAATTCAAACCAACGATGTGGGGGCTGCAAAGGAGGGCGGCCAACCAACATGGCTCTTGTCGCTGAATCTCCTTCGGAAAAGTGATTCTACCCCCGCACCGCCCAACCGCCTCGTAGCCGTCATGGGCAACTCTATACCTGTCGAATCTGCTTGGACAAAGCTACGCTGACAGCCCAGTGAGAAGATCTGGTGTTGAATCGGTCATGGCCGTTCTGGACTTGTAAGACCCAACCTGCCCAAACTCACGCGGTTGGAACAAGCTGCATATAGATGCACGGGGTCGTGCAAGCACATGACTGCTGGGAAGATCATACTACCGTACACCAAACACCAAGCAAGTCATCACCAGCAGCAGCAGTAGCAGCATCACCAACATACGGCCAGGACAGGGCAGCACAGGACAGGACAGCCAGGCATACCCGCACCAGGACGGACAAACACAAACAGAGAGAGAGAGAGATACAGACACAGACGCAGACACAGCACAACACACAATGGCCATGACAACAAAGACAAAATACAAAGCCCAACTGAGTTAACTGAACGTCGCATTCATGACCAACCTCCCCCCCCAGTTCCGGGGCCTAAGCGACACGCAGGTGACTTTCAGCAAACGCCAACACACTGAACGACTGCAGGTTTGCAACACCCAGATTGGCCCCAAAAGCCTTCGGCTTTGCGGATGAAAATACCCGTTCTGCCATCAATACGCTGGTCGCTTGGCTAGCCTTAGCAAATGCATGGCATGCTCACAGCACCAAAACCAGCACCCTCCATTTGGCAAAGACTACAAAAAGGGAGGAATCGAGATTTAAAACCCTTTTCGACACCTATGGGCAAAATTCTGACAACCAGTCCCTGACAGCTATGGGCAAAGTTCGACACCTAAAGGGAAAAACAAATAGCAGGTTTTGCAAATAGTTTGAACATGTTCAAACAAGGAGTTGGCCCGACTCTGCACGGTAAGGTGAGAAGTCCGATTTTGCAGCCTCGGTTTGCAAAGCAATTCAGCCTGCCTCCAATCGCGTGGTCTTCAAGATTGTAGCAAAGTTTGCAACAAGGACACGAAGCACAGCAATGCCATGCAGGATGCGGGTCATGTAACATGGTGAAGTTGGCAAAGTAGCAAAGGCGCCCATATACATGTCCTACCCAGATTCGGTCCAACTTTACCATTTGAATCACCCACAATATTTTGGCCCAAACATGTCCCACACTTTGCAGCATTGCTCTCCAAATGGCTTCGTCCCCTCATGGCTCACACGCCCATGCCGAAGTCCAACACGATGCCGCCGGCGTCTTTCACCCGCTGGGCCTCTTGCCATGAAAGCTGATTGAATGTTCAGCCCATTTAGCCATGGCATGGGAGCTAGCCCAAGTTACCCCACATATAACCATATGGCTGTGGCTCAAAAAGCCGGTACCAAAATGGAACCCTGGTAGGTGGAAACATGGACAAAAACCTGCGTAACCCCTCCTGTTTAATTTTGAGCCAC